CAGGAATGTAAGAGTAACATCAAAGGACAGATGAAAAAAACCATTTTTGCCATTCCCAAATATGTTTTGCCAGATGTTGGTGTGGTTTTCAGATTCAAATGAGCATTTTTGCGACTGGATTTTGGGCCAAGTGAAGCAATTGTAGGTGAAGACATTTGCTTTGCAAACCATAATTTATAGCAAGATGTGCAGGGTAAAAGGATTGTAAAAATGTTCTCATTAATGGACACTGAGGGCAAATACCTGATTTCTCATAAATAACAGAAGTGTAGAAGTTCCTCACGTTCTAGAGACACTGCAGTATTTGCTGGGCTTTCTACCAGCTAAGATTAATGTGCCATAAATTACTCTATTTCCATTCCTTAGCGCTGGCACAGGCAAACAGCATTTTTCTTGTTTGAGACAGTGGGCATCCACTCCATTAACCTCCATCATGATTGCTGCTTTTGAATCCCAAAGGATGACTTCTCTTCTCTGGCTAAAGGGCCTCTGAATTCCACCCCTGTGTGACACAGAGCATCATTCAGGAGCTGAGGAATGCACTACTCTGTTTCCTGCCCTTTGCTTCATACCCTGGGCCACAAACCTGCAGTTCTGCTGCTCCACATCCCCTCCTTTGAAGTAAATCTGACCTCCATCCCTGTGAAACTGGATCATCAACTTTTCCTCATATTTTTGTTTTATCCTTACTGAAGGATGCTAATAAATGCCACATTTAGCAAAGAAATGATTGCACTTACAAAGTTCCTTCTGCTGTATGAACAAGATAAAACTTTCTGAGTAACCCAGTTCACTAAGACCATAAAATGTACTGTATGTGGGTTTAAAAAACAACTGTCTCCAGCCACAGAGTAAAAGTCCCATGAAGACCACTAAATATAAAGATTTTTTATCTGGCAGAATTTGTTCCAGAGTCCAAAAGTGCTAGAGACAACAGTCTGACAAACTATGTGAAAACATATGCTTGTCCTGCTCTTGTATTGTGCCCCACACCTCTGCTACTGATCTCTATCAGAGAAACCATGTCAGACCTGCATGGTATGAACTAGTGATTCTTTTAACATATATATATTTTATATACATACCATGTACTCCCGCTTATAACCACCTCCCAGTAATGCCTCCCGCTGTCAATGAACACGTTGCCAGCAACTCCATAGCTCCCCTGGCTGGTGAATCTCTCTGGCGTATGACTCTTTTTGGAGGATGTTTCATCACGTTCCACTGTCAAGTTATCATGAGACACTTTCAATTTTCTATGCGCAGATTTGGGGTCCAGTTTAAATGGCTGACCTAGAGAGGCAGAGACAAAGATGGCAGAAGAATAGTTTGGCTTCGATTTTGAAGAGACGCGTGGATTAGCGAGCCTCTAAGAAGCCCACAAGAAGACATAACCACATTAATCTGCTTCTCTGAAGGGCTCTTGAGATAGGCTAACCTATTCTGCTTCCTGCCACAGCTAGTTTGCATTGTCAATTTACTGTCAGTCTCATTGTGCACTAACTTTCCTGTGTCAATAATCCCTGAAAAGCGCCCTGCATAATCATCATGCCCATTATCTCTGACCCAGAGGTAACCTGAATCCTCTAATTCTTGCATGTAATTGAAACCAATATACATGCTAATAAAGGTCTGAGGGTTGCTTTTGTCACAGCATATTAGATTTAGAAGAAGTTGATTCTACTAATTCTTTAGAGATTAAGCACCATAAAAACATCTTCATCATTACTACAAAAATATGTGATTTCAAATCCAAAAAATGATTTTGAAAGCAAGAAGAAGCAGTGGCCTTGTCTGTTCACTCACTCTCAGCTTTATTTATAACAAGTACAGTCAACAATTGAGGATTGCTGTGGAAGGATGCACATGTGGTGCTGGATACTGTGCATTAAAAAGAAGGAAGTGAACTGTAACTGCAACACCAAATAATATGGTGTAAAAACATTACTGAGGTTGTTGCTTTTGGCACATGCATTTGGCTGTAACGTTAAGTTTGTAGACAATAACAGGAAGCTTTCTGGTAAACTGAACCCTGTATATAAAGCATGGCACAATTCTGACAGGCTTGCTCATTGTGTCAAAAGCAGAATGATCATTTACCTCCAACAGGAGACAACTAGGAAACTATGACTCTATGAATGGTCCAGCAAAGCCCTTTTCCCTTCTGACTGTCTTTCATATCAAGGGAAAAAAAATATGTAAAAGAAAGATTTGATGACATGCACAGAAAACAGAAATGAGAGCAGTCCTAAGGTCTATGTCAGGCACTAACATATGTACTTCAAATAAGATGTAAATTGTCCAGAGATTATGGAGGAACAGTTAAGCATTCATCATCTAGTAAACCTGAAAGCATTGATGTAGGTGGTAAAAAGAAATTAAGTTCGTCTGAACAGTGACAGTCAATATGTTTTAGTTCAGATCTCCAGGCAATCTGAAAATGCAGAGACTTAAAATGGGAGATAATCGAGGCAATACTAATTCTCAATTAACATTATTAGAGATGTGTCAGGAATGAGATAAGGAGCACTTCTAGTTTAGAGTTATCTATTTTCATTTGCATTTAGTGATGTATTACAATCAAGTATAAAATTAACACATTGGAAAATATTTGGGGCACATGTATCTGTTTTTTCTTACTGCTTAGAAGCAAGCTAAAAAATAATTACAGCCTGCCTCTCTAACTGGTTAGTAACTTTTCTGTTGCTGAAGCTGTATTTGAATGATGTCTTTGTATTGAACTATATCTGGTCACATAATTTCTCACAGTCACCTGAGAGATTACTTTTGTGCCACACCAGGTCACAAGGAAAAAAAGGATAAAAGAATGTAATTTCCAAATGGGTCCTCTGAATATGCATTTGTTTGTAGGCTATCAGGTTTAACTCTAAGCAGTTTTGGTAGCAGAGTTCGGGTTTGTATGAGCAGCTTTTACACAGAAATTCAGTTATAGCAGAAAGGGGAGAAGAAGAAATGTGTATGTGCAACTCCCTAAAGCCTCTTTCTTGTAACATTCAGCATTGCCTCTCTTTGAGCACCCTCCCCTACAATAAGCAGGTTTCAGAGGGTGTACAGATTCCAGTGTTCCCTTTCCAGTGCTTGGTTTTCAGCCTTTTTCTTCTTGTGATGACTACATGACTGAGGGATTGGCTTCTTTTCCAGAAGAAAAAGGCTGACAACCAGTCTTAAAATTGCTATGCTACATCTGCTAATAATTTGTGTAACCATTGTTTTTTTTTATTGAAGTGGGATCTCTGACTACTTTACCACCTTGCTGAATTCCATAAAAAACTGAGGGAGCTGGAGCTAAGAAAGCCTTGTCCTAAGAAATATAATTTTGGAGGATAAAAATAAACTAGCAATTATCTTACAAACACCATACAAAAATAAAATGTTTTATTGCAAACATAAGAAAAGCTTTTGCTTTGTAGAGGAAAACAAATAGAGAGGACATTAAACCAAAACCACAAGAGAGTATTTTCAATCATTTCACATGTGATGGCTCTGTTCCTAAATGATATTTCCAGTGACCAAACTGCAGACACATTTCTAAAAAAAAAAAAAAAAGAAAAAAGTAACTTCTGCTCTACTGAAGAATCTGGCAGTCTTGAATGTAGTTAACCAAGTGGCTTTAATTGTGGGAAACACTTTAAACAAGTTAAGCAGCTCTATGCTCTTCTACCTTCCAGAGATTGAACCTAAAAAGGACGGCAAGAAAGGAGAGGAACGCGTGTGCGCCAGATTTCACGTTACTCACTGTTTGTCTTGAGCTTGCCAGGTTCGCTGCTTCTGCTGCCTGCCTGATTAATGGCCTTAACAATGAAGATGTACTTAGTGCCACTCTGTAACCCATGCACTGTGTAGTGGTTTTGTTTGATATTGGGAACAATCATCCAGCTGTCGGCAGAGTTGCATAAACCTGCAATTCCAAACGGAGCACATTAGTCGTAATACATTAAACACTTTGTAACAGAGGAACATTTAAAGCACTCACAAGCACCCAACGACCAATATGAATTTTGCTTCAGTACCTTTTGAAGTCCCTTTACATTTACTGAGTAGCTACATAATTGCACCAACTCATTTCATCAGCCCTCAGTCAAGGTACCTTTAAAGTTCTTGCTACGTTAAGCCAACCAGAAAAAATGGACATTTAAGAAATGACTCAGTGGAGGCATGAGAAGTCTGAGATTCTTCCTATCCCAGCACAACACAAGGAATTCTTTATTGCTTAAGAACTAGAGGATTATGGAGATCACATCAATCCACTGCTTGGATTAAAGAACTCAATTTAAGCCTCAGAAAATTACTGTAAGTAGCAAAGGTAGGGGGGCTGGGTAGGCACCTTTGCTGACAGTGCCCAGGTATTCATTCTTCAGGACCTGAGACAAATCATGGGCGTCCAAACAGGGCAGTGTGTGGGCTGCAGAGAAAGCTCTGGCTCTTATACTCCAGACTTTGCCAGGTTGTAATCTACACCAGTAAATTTAATGGATGCAACATTTTGATTTATGTCCTCATGGTTAGATGTCAGCTGGGGAAGAGCTGGATAATTTTCTAGTTGCAAACCTTTTGGGGTACATTTGAAGACTACTACAGAAGTAAAATAAGGGAAGAGCAATTGTCTGCAAAACAGGAAAAATACTCCATTGAGATGAATTTCTCACTCCACATAAATTTTTCCCACTGTGATATAACTGCAATGGCAGTAAATCACACCTATTATTTATTGTACTTTTTTAACAGCTCCTGGTCTAATGTATCCCCAGTTTGACATCTCTCTTTTTATAAATATACACATAAATAACAAATCTAACATTCATGAAGCGTATATATATGAACAAGCTTTTCTACAGCTATAGAGCTAGAAAAAGATTTATGCAGATGGGATTGTATGCATGCATGTGCATATGTAAGACGGGGAAACTTAAAAGAAAAATGCTTGACTTGATTAGGAACCTGACAGACTTCTTCATCTCTCCCTTTACTGGGTATAATGTTATGAAAGCTACTGTGTTATTGAAAAACAGCTCTCAGCCTTTAACTCACTTTTTACTAGCAAACCTAGTAGCGAAGAGAATCTTTTAGAAGTCATTAGTAATTTCAGCTCTGCATATTAGGCAATACAAAACTTCTATGGATAGGCTACCGGAGATGAAAGAAAAAGATGTGTGATAGTGGTTTACAAGTTCTTAGATAACTCGTAACCAATCCATCCCTAATTTGGCATATGCTTTTCATAAGAAAAGATCACCAGAAACAGAGCTCATACCCCAAATTTCAGTCTAAGAATTACTTAGGTTTTATCTCAAAGTTCTTTCAAATTACATAGCATACTTAAGAGGTAGGAAGCTATTAATCTTGCTTTGCAAATTGGTAACTGAGGCACAGTTCCAGGTGGTATGCATATCACCTTGTCATCTAATGGAAGAGGTTGCAATGCCCAACAAATTTTTCTGGACTCTGAGGAGAGTCAGAAATCAGTGAGTAGTTTCTATCACTTCTTTGGATGTGAACCTTTTACCACAAGTGCATCTCTTTTCTGGTCACAGAGGAACACTAGGTGACTAGTGTAAGTGAGATCTCTAACTTCAGGTACTTAAAATGAGGTGAGATGAACACCCTTAGACACCCCAATTTGAAGCCTGGAAGTCTAAGCCTATGGGTGAACTCACACATGGGTTATGGCCTTTGGACCATGATTTTCCAGAATGAGAACATTTCTTAGTTGCAGTTTCCTGGTGTGAAGTGGGAGAAAAGACTTCAAGGATGTTCCTAATGCTGCAACCAGTGAGCATCCTGGCCACATGTAGCCTCCCTAAATATCAGCTACAGGGGAAACAAATAGTTTGTGTTGTCTGGATAGAAGCAGCAAGGAAAAGCAACCTTGCAGCACTGTTTTGAGAAAAACTAGATCATACAGATCAATAATCTGTCTACCATCTGAAAAAAAAAGAACCCAGTATTATACTCTGTGAAAAACCCAGCTGTGCCTAGCACTTGTAGTAAATTGCTTCTAGCAACATCAGTCCACATCTTGTTTCACTGAACCATACCTACTGAATGATATTTATTTTTTAGGCAGGGTGTGAATGGTTTTTCCTAAGAGGAAGAAAAGAAATAAAAGCAGCAGTTTCCTGGCATAAAATATTCCACTGACTGCTCAGAGGATTCCTCATCTTTTCTCCACAAAAACTTGTCACTGGTATTAAAGACACAATAGTTCTGTAGATGAACTACTACATGGATTTTGCACTGGGAACATCACTTAGGTGACTCATAGGTACTATTACAAAGTAAGTGTTGAAATATAACAAAAGGAAGCACTAAATTTAGAGGGAGTTCAGGATGACCAAAGGATCCTTAACTCAGATTCTTCTCATGGGGTATCAAATAACATATGACTGTAAGTGGAATGAGTCCAGAGAGTGGTCATGGAAGTGTCTTCTCCTTTCACAACCACAATTAAAAAGCAAAGGGCTATGGCATACATAGGCCATATATAAACAAACCCTTACACAGACCCAGATTTTTGCTAAATAATCTAAAAAATAGATTTGTATTAGTCATTACAATGATACATTTTTCAGGCTTGCATTGCACTTATTATGTTATCCTCCAGACTGGTCCTTAATGAAGTGTAAAACTTGGATCTAAATAGACACATGATGCATTGTAAAGGTACAGTTGCGGTGCTATGGGTCTCCTCTCTGGTTTATCCTCTTCTCTAGTGTATGTGTATTTACATATACTAGATACTCACTAGTCTGTAAATACTCAGGGTAAATTATTGTATTATTAAATAATACAGTTACTGGTTAATTTAGATGTCTGCATACAGAGTCTCAAAAATCTAAGGTGTTGCTATATCTTGGCATCTGCTACTGGGGATTAATGGCAAAACGGTCTCAGGCAGATATAGATTAATCCCACCTGGCCTTGAACAAAGAGCAGAGCTCCTGAGTTAAGACCTCACCTATCCTAAACTCTCTGCACAGTCAATAAAGAGACTTGGGCATCTTTCATTTGACCTGACTTGTGTTCTAGGGGAAGGTTCTAACTTCTCTGATGACACAAGACACCTTAGGTTTGTTTTCTTCCTCCTTCCTGCCTTAGGTATCCCAGACTACCAGTGTACCATAAACATTGGATGTGTAGTAACTGACTTGGTCACTGCTTGACAAACCTTGCTGTCCCAACACCAAGGGGCTCACTGACATGTCCATATGTTTCCTGACTGTGAGGTATTTGATCACAGGCTTTAAATGGAACATGGATTAAAAAAATCATGGAAATTGACTTTTGATGGTGTCAAACTACAAGTCCAAAATCCTTCTAAACAAAGAATAGTAAATAGTGGCAGTCAAGTTAAGCTTTTATGTATGAAAGAATATTTTGTCACTGCATCAAAATAATTTGTCTCCAGTTATGCCCTGTCAGGACAGCCCTTTTTTCTCTGAACACAATGCAATATTATTAAGAAAGTTCAGGGAAATGAGCAAGCAGCCTGGTAACTCAGGCATGTAGGCGTAGTGTTTGCCCCCTCAGCTCCCTGCCAGTGGCAGCAGGTTAAGTAGAAAAGCACACATCATCTCCTCACTGGCACAGCAGCAGGAGCTAAGGGCCTCCTATTGCACCCACTCCTAATCCAGGCTACATTCAGGTTTCTTGTTTCAAAAACCCAGGGCTTTTTCCAGGGTAATGCAGGTGGGAAAACAATGTATTTTAGAACTGTAGCCTACAAAAATGTGGAGAATTTAAATTACATCCTGGAATGGTGCAGTGAGCACAATGATGTCCGTACAGGATGTGTGAGTTTTCAAAACAAGTTTCTCAGAGTCTGGAGGTAATAATTTGTAAAGCTATTTCCCTGGTGTTGGCTGTTGATGCACTTTAAAACACAGATGGGAAAAATCCCAAGGTGTAAATCCTCCTATAATTTACATTCATAGATTTTAATAAAATAAATCTTCTTGAAAATGGGAAGAGGAGTACAAAAGTCACGGGAAGGTTATTTAATCTCTTCAGAATTTTAATTGCTTTTAAATGCTTTATTTAAAGAAGTTATTATCAATTCAAATTGGTAGAACAAATACAGCAGGTGAAGGTAACAGCCGTCCACCCCTACTCTGAGTTTTCACATGAAAGAAAATAATGTACACAGGATTTTGCTGAAACACACAGCTTTGCTTTTTTTTTTTTTTTAATACATGTTCTTTATACTCTTGAAGAGGATGAACTTTTCTTGGTTGTATCCTATATTTGGCTTTGTGCCATTAAAACATACTCACTACAATCCTCAGTAGCAATCTGATGCTTGTAAGGAAGCTGGTTTTAATAAATTAAAACTTCCAGAAGGAGGCAAAAGCTGGAATATAAAAAAATTAATTGTTGAATAATGAATCTACTGTTTTTCATGGAAGCGTGGGCTCCTAAGTGTCTTAGATCCTTCAAAAAAATGTATCCTCTCTCATGGGAAGCCTAACTACTTAACAGTGGGCAGGTTCTGACAAGACACTGTGTCCTTAATACACTGAATTTTAGTATTTAGCTAATGAAACTAATAGCCTAAATTCCATTCAATAAGAGCTAATTATTTACTGCTGTTATCTTGAAGGGAGAGATGTGATTTTCCTGAAGACACCTGGATTGGCAGCTAGTAAAAGGCTGGGTGTTCAAATTTTAACCTCCCTGAAGTACTCTAAAGCTATTTGAGGATGTTAAAAAAAAAAAAGTATACTAAATAAATACTTGAAAATTTATTGAAATGGGATAATTAGGCTATGATGCATGTTAGCTAGCTAGTGACAAAGTAATTTTAAAAGCCTTTACAATATTCAGATTGCAGGTGATTAGCTGCCTCTCAGAAATGCAAATGTGTGAATAGCATCACTCTGAAAACAACCGCTTTAGTAAAAACCTGCCTAATATAAAGTTCTGTATTGCTCTTAGGCACAATATGAGGCTGCCAAGCATTTAATAGCCAAGCAGTTTGGCCACATTTGGAAATAATCTTTCCTGAATGAAATAGGATTCAAAATTAAATACTCTGTTTGGACCCTTTCCATCAAATGTTAACTCTCCAATTTTTCAGTTAATAAAAAAGTATATAGTTGATTATGTTGGATAGAAAATACACTAGAAAAACACAGCATTGGTTGTTTTTGTTACTGAATTCTTAGCAATCTCTGAATGATATATGCCTCTGGTGGGGGAAATGTACCGAGAAGTGGAAAATGCAGTCAGCCTGGAGATGTGGTTTTAAGAAACGGATTCCAAAATAACAACTTCCATTAGCACGGTAGGTGGATATGTATGCAAAGTGATTCCTATTGTCTCAGGGGAAAAAAGCTTGCTGGTTTAATGCAGTACTCTAGCTGCTCCCTCGTGACTAATTCACATCTACAAAAACACAGCACTGAAGAGGATCTATCAACCTGTTTACATTATCTGCTACAGGCAACACACAGTACCAATGGAAACTGTTTGGGATAGGACAGAGAAATAAACTTACAAGAATAGTTATGTGCAACAGCTTGCAAATGCCATACATAGAAAGAAATGTGTGTTAATCCAAAATATATTCCATTACAATGGAATTTAAAAAGAGATGATCACCTAGCTTCAGTTCATCACAACATGAAGATTGCAGGGCAGTGCTGCTAATGTCACTTACAGTGAAAATAACTCTGTGTAACACCACACTACTAAAGTACACTCCAATTTTCTAGGGACAGTCTTGGAAGTAATCTATAAAATTTGGGATATTAGACCTTTCTGCAGGACAAATATTATAATCCAGCAAAGTGGAGAAACATCCAAGCAGTGTTCTGAGTAAAATGAGGACATCAGTGGGCAAATCTCCCATACCAGTCGAAGTTGGAGTGAACTGGGAGAGAGTCCCATGATTTAGAAACCTGGACAGATCTATTACAGATTTGATGGGAACACCTCCATTGGATTTGTTCAAGTCTATGTTAAACAGTGAGACTGGGAGAAAAAAAAAAAAAGGCAAGGAGCTTTATAACATTTAGAAAACCCTTCCACACATAGTTATATATGCATAAATTTAATTTGGGTTAATATTATAGATTTCAATCAACTTGAGCAAACAGCTGGGGTATTTGTGTATGAACTATTACATTAAAAAAGAAAAGAAAGAAAAGAAAGAAAAGAAAGAAAAAGGAAGAAAGAAAGAAAGAAAGAAAGAAAGAAAGAAAGAAAGAAAGAAAGAAAGAAAGAAAGAAAGAAAGAAAGAAAGAAAGAAAGAAAGAAAGAAAGAAAGAAAGAAAGAAAGAAAGAAAGAAAGAAAGAAAGAAAGAAAGAAAGAAAGAAAGAAAGAAAGAAAGAAAGAAAGAAAGAAAGAAAGAAAGAAAGAAAGAAAGAAAGAAAGAAAGAAAGAAAGAAAGAAAGAAAGAAAGGAAAGAGAAGAAAAGAAAAGATAAAAAGAGCCACTTCTCTAATTTTTTGCTACTGTCATTTAAGATCTTTAAAAGCATATTGTAATAAGAGTTTCTTGCAGTGTTGAATATTTTTCTTGTTTAAACTTTTAATTACACTATTTTTGCAAAGTGATAAAATGCAAGTTCAGAACACTATATCAAAATGTTATCATATTGCATTTTTAAAAGCAGACTGATACATGCTTTGCAGATCAAAGCTTTCACCTTCACATGGGAAACCTGCAATACATCCTAAAAATTAAATATCTTATTATTTATTCACTAGTAAGCAAAGAGCAAAACCCCACATCACAGAAGTGTGGAAATGGCAGACCTTTCTGCTGCTGTCTTCACACATTTTCACACACAGTTCATACAACTGACTTGCATAAAGCCTGCTAGCATAAAGCCATAGGCAAAAATGGGTCAGAAAACAAGCAATGTCCTGTGTTATCAGTAAGACCTATCTCCTTAGTAGTGATTAATCAGGGAAGCTTTCCCTTCCTTATTCAATTTCTTCTAAATTACTATTAGACTTTTTTGCAATTCAGCTTGTTTCAGATGTAGGAGTGTGTGTTAAAGGTTACTTGGTCTTTGCAGCAGTGTAAAATTTTACAGTGTGTTGTCCAAAATTAGGTTGTTTAGTGAAAATACTACCTGGACTTTTCAGCAAAACTATCTTTTAAATTTTCAATAGTCCACCTGATTTTACAGTCAATCCTGAATACTGTGACATATTCACAGTATGCTACTTGAAAATGGTTTTAAAATGCCAGTACATGAAGCCTCAGATAACCTTTGAGATTGCTTGGAGAACTAACTCCTGTTTAGCAATGGTGAAAAGGAGGTGCTCAGACCAACAGATGAGTCAGTGCAAGAGTTTAGCTCAGTACTGAGTCTTGGCATGGACCACATCATTCTTCCAATGCTATAAAACATGTAAACATATCCACAGCACTGACTTTCACCAAAGTGCCTCAACAAATTTTGTAAGAACAAAATCGCTTCTGCACTGGGTCAGCTCAGTGTGTGCCTCGAGTATCTGATGGTGGACAAAAGCAGGAGTGTAGGAAGGAGTTAAGGAACAGGAAAAACACACAGCAATCATTTCTCACCACACTGTCCCAGGCTCCAAGAGATTACAGCTGGGAGACTTCCTGAGCCAGGAGGAAGTCTCTGCACTTCATTGTTCTCAGTGGATTTTTCTTGCATGATCTGTCCAGTCATGTCTTGAACTCAAACAGACTTTTAATCAACAACCCTCTGTGGCAATGAGTCTCAATTTTATATACATATAGACTGAACAAACTCCACCTTTTGATTGATTTGGCTCATTTCAGAAGCCTTCTGTTTCATAAAGCAAGTATGTGTCAGTTAGTGGTATTCCTGTTAAACATCTGGGGAACAGGAAGAAGCCAAGTGAATCCTCCAAATTCAGAGTCAATGATCACTACGCACTGAACCCAGAAGTGTTGACTTCCTGGCCAAAGGTTAGACAATATTTTTTTAAATTGAGGAACAGTTATTTAACAACAAAATAATCTGAGGAATAATCACTAAGCTTGTTCATTCAGGAAAGTCAGAGAATCCAGAGAGCGTATTTAAAAAAAAATATGCTACTATGCAAAATATAAAGTAATGAGAGTTAATGGCATTATCAGTTGAAAAAAGTTACCATATTAATTGCTCCACTGATGTTTGCAGTTCTAACCTTCAGTATTCTAATGGATACCTGTGATTTGTGGCACTGAAGACAATAAAAATCAGAGGGAAGGACTTAATCTGCATTCTCACAAAGATGCTGTTGCCAAGGATATCTAAATGACCATGGGCCTGAAGCCCTGAGGACCAGTTCAACACAGGCTCCCAAGTGCCTGATTAGCCCAGACAATGGAAATGAAGTCTTCGTCCCCATAGCTACATCTGCAATGAGGGACCAAGGAATCAGGAGAAATGGGCCCATGTGAACCCCATGAGATTTAAGAAGGCCAAGTGCAAGGTCCTGCACATGCGTTGGGGCAATCCCTGCTATCAATACAGGCTGGGGGATGAAGGATTGAGAGCAGCCTTGTGGAAGAAGACTTGGGGGTAACTAATGGATGTCTTCCTGTACATGAGCCATCAATGTGCTCTTGCAGCCCAGAAAACTAACATGTCCTGGACTGCATCAAAAGGTGTGGCCAGCAGGTCAAGGGAGGTGATTCTCCCCCTCTACTCTGCTCTGATGAGACCCCACCTTGAGTATTATGTCCAGCTCTGGAGTCCTGAGCGTGGGACAGACATGAACCTGTTGGAGCAGGTGCAGAGGAGGGCCACAAAAACTATCAGAAGGCTGGAGCACTTCTACAAGGACGGTCTGAGAGAGTTGAGGATGTTTAGCCTGGAGAAAAGAAGACTCCAGGGAGACCTTATTCTGGCCTTTCAGTACTTAAAGGGGGCTTATAAGACTTTTTAGTATGGACAATTGTAATAGGACAAGGCCATGGCTTGGAACTGAAAAAGGGTAGATTCAGACTAGTTATAAGGAAGGCATTTTTTACAATGACAAAACACTTGAACAGATGGCCCAGAGAGGTTGTAGATGCCCATCCTGGGAAACATTCAGGGTTGGGTGAGGCTCTGAGCAACCTGATCTAGTTGAAGATGTCCCTGCTCACTGCAGAGGGCTTGGACTAGATGACCTCTAAATGTGCCTTCTAACCCAAAATTTTCTATGATTGTGTAAGTCCTGTTAACATGGACAGTGTCTTTAGGAATATGTGCTGCTGTTACTCTGCAGAGATACCACATGACATTCCCAGAGACTCCCAGAAAACACACAAAAAAAATTTAACTGAATGACTTCTGAATTCTAAAAATCATTGATTATTGACTTTCATTTAAACGTTGGCTGTAAGTCTTCCTAGAAAATCCATTTTCCCTTTTGTTCATGACATATAGCTACATTTATATTTCAAGGCACTTGTTTTACAGAGAAACCATAAGAAAAGGGAAGGTTTTTACTTACTAACAACATTAGCTTGTCCGGTGAAGATGGTGTATTGCAGCTCGTAAGAGACCACGCTGAACTCATCATCCGATGTCCAGTGGACAGTAATGGTATCATAAGAAGCTGTACAGAGCTCTTCTCGAATGGTGGGTGGGTTGGGAGCTGTGGGGTGCAACAGAGGAGACTTACTGACACAATCATCTGAGATTAGGGGATGCACCTGATGTACGAGTTTGCAGCTACACTGTCCAACATTTTTCAACAACTTTTCCCTAATTCCACTAGTAACTTAGATCATCAATAAAGTGTTGTAGAGGAATTACTTTTATCAACATAGCCACCTAAGAACTTCAGATTTAAAAAATATTTTTTATAAAAGTAGCTTTAGCTTCAGATGCCCTAGCACAAGTGGTGTTGATTGTCACGTTAAATTGTGATTAATGGGTGCAATTGACATGTTTTGTTTCGGACCACCACACTAAAATTATCCAAGTTCTATTGAAACCTGGATCAATAGTGAGAGTCAACACTCTTCACTTGAAAGCAGTGTTTGCCTAGCCTATCTTACCAGAGATTGGCTAAGTGGTACTTAAAAAATATAATTTTGAGGAAGCCTCCAAACATTCATGATTTCATTTGCAATCTCTCCAAGTCCATTTTTATTTATGTCCTAGGTATCCTTTTTGATACAGTTGCATATAATCCCTGTTGGCTGTAGAACTCACTTTTTTCTGCCTTACTTAAAGAATCCTTACCGTAACTTCATGACTGTATGACTATTACAACCTAAACTTCAAAATCATTGCTAATTAAATAACTCTAGAAAACAACCAAAACACTTTAACAAAAAGCTGTCCTTCTGGTTGTTTGTTTTTTTGGTTTGGTTTGGTTTTCCCATAAAAAATGATCTCTGCATAGCAAGCTAGATATTCTTCTCCCTTATTAACACACAAGTTTATTTTAAAGAACTATTTAAGTAAGTCAGATTTGAAGCAAACTTCTTAGGTCTAAATTTTCCTTGTTTGCATTCTTACAAAGCCAAGCACCTAAATAAGACACAAATTAGTCTGGTGGGTCCTTCTGCATGCTTGTCTCTGTGGGAGCTTCATTCCTAATCATCTTTCCTACATGTAACTATCATGCAAAAAAAATTTAAAAAAAATCCTTGTGCTTAATAGTGTTCCTTCCAGCTGTCACAGAGTGAGGGAGGAGGGCACTCAAGCTGAAACAACCACAATATGCCGAAATTAAAGGAAAAGAAAGGAAACTCCAGATGCTGCTTTTGCCATCAGCTCTTTAACTTCTGTTAGCCACAATTAACAGCACTAAAAAAAACACCCCTCTGAAGGAATTCTTCCTTTACAGCTCATTTTTATGAAACATTGATTTTATCTTCCATTAAGAATTATGATATAGTTCACATCCCTGCTTTATTAGTGTATGTTCCCAAATATGAAAATGCAGAAGCATTTCCAAGAAGCCTCTTTGAAGCAAGAGGCATAAGAAAGCTTCCAAATGTTTCATGATATGACTGTGATTTATGATGCTCCAAATATTATAGCACAGAAGCCTACTGGTGCTTTTTTATTCTTCTCAGCAGAGGAGCCCTTGAGACAGATGGGTATTAATAATGAGAGAGAGAGAAATGAAATAAGAACAGTCATCCAGGAGAACAGAAACAAAAGAAGGAGATAAACCCCACAATCTTCTGTAAAGATTAATGCTGCTGTTGTGTACTGAGGACAACCAAATGCTGTGAATGTTATGCAGTGCTGCATTGGTGGTAACAGCTTGTGTTTCCAAAATGTATTTAGCAGAACAATTTATTGAAACTATATTTATTTTTCCCTAGCTTGAAGCTTCATTTTCATATTTTGCCTTTCAAAGGGAAAACAAAATACTGAAAGAAATATTAATTACAAATATACAGGTGGATCCATTTTTTTCTGTGCTAGTATTTAACTAAAGTGTCCTTTGGTCATGTCCTGCACCTAACAGAGCAAAACTTTTACTTAAGAAATGCACCTCTTTTCACTACAACACAGATAATAAATATTCATGTATGGAAAGTTTGATGAAAAGTAAACTGCATTTTAATAGCACCCAAGTATCTTCCACTCCTTTGAAAATGGCAGCATAAGTTATCTCTTCATATGCACACCTGGCTGGTCTTATGGCTGGAGATTTACAAGCCTTCATTAAATGGGAATGACAGACAAAACAGATTTGATGTAAGGAGGACATCTTTTCTCTTGCTCTTATGATTAATCCACACCATGTGACACCATCCTGCATGAAATTCAGCTCTTCAGAAACACTAATTTAGTAAATCACTCAGAATAAAACAAAGCCCACACGCTTCTTCTGCAAACAGAAGTCTGCATGCAAATGTTTGTTACAACTTTCAAAATAATGCAGAACTTTGACTGCCAAATCCATCACTCCACAGCACAAACTCCGTTGCAAAGTGTAAGTCCTCAATGCAATTAAAGAGATGGACCTTAGTCAGTTATCTTCACTATCACATTTTCTAGTAATCCTTATCAAATTCACTAGTATTGTTACAGGGCCCAGATGCCATGGGGAAAGTTCTGCAGAGACCCCAGAGCAAGCTCAAGGCTGCACGAACACCTTCTCTCATGAGGTCTTGTCTCAGGCTTGCTCCATCACTGGGCTTCACAGTGAAGAGGAAGCCCAGCACACTTCCAGCACAGCAATGGAAGAAATGCCTTGATCAGTTCTGAAAAGTCTTAACACTGTTAAGACATAAAATTTCAAATCCACCCTCTAGTTTTGTTTCCTGTGGAGAAGCAGGGATTGCGTTTGAGCCCTCCCAGTCCATTTCAGGGTGAGGACAGAGCACACTGGCTTGCAAACATAACAAGGCTGGAGTTTGACAGCTGATGCTGTTATTATCTTCAGCTACTGGCAGCCTCATGTCTACAAACTGCTACACAGTGTCAAGGAGAGTTAAAAAAAAAATGAAGCAACCTTTGAAAATCCTAAAATGAACAGCCTTGAGCAGTGAGCAATCCTGGAATCAGAGCCAGCAGACTTAGCAAGGCCTTCCTAATATCTGCGGATCTCCTTGGTCATGGGGTGGCCATCAAATATCTGGGAGTAGAACTGTTGCAGCCACCTTGACTTTCATCCATCTGCAATCATTAATCAATTTCACTTTGATAAGAGTGAAAATCAATGCTGAAAGCTGCTTTAATTCATTTGTGTGACTTCACCTCAAAAATGAGCAGCCATACTTCAATAGTCAGGAACCACCTGAAAAGCACTATCTAATACAGTAACTAATATTAGAAAAGCAGTTTCTTAAATTTACTCCCAGAAGTAACTGACCTGGTGAGCATACCTGCTCCCTTTCTAACAGTTTAGTCTAACCCACCAACAGTTCAATGTCTTCTGCATGGCTTTTGCTCTGATGCAGGCTGAAAGCACCCACATGGTCCATACACCTGAGAAGCAGTTTAGGGAAACTGCTACCTCTCAGTGGTGAAGCCCAGAATGAATGTGGTGGCTCCTGGTGACTAGTGTAATTTCTTTCAGCTCAAGCTCACAGAGATTGACTAAATTCACCTCAATTTCCTTTTGTTTGCTCAGTCTCCACCTCCCTGATGAGATGTGGTGACTGACTTTGTAAAGGTTCCTTACTGATTTTGATACTGACTAAAAAACAAAGGTGTAAACCATCTCTTTGACTTTATGTTGCTAGAAATATTCATATTGTTGGTTTGACCATGAGAAAGTTGAGGTAGCTTCTCTAAAACTTTCTCAGCTGTTCATTACGGGCTCCATAGTGTATTGTGACACTAGATTGAACCAGCATGCAGGAACTTGAAAGGCACAGTTATATCAGACATAGGTAAAAATTTGGTGGGCTAGTAACATTTCACACATGAGTTGCCATCAAGAGTTCAGAGTCACAGTTTGACTCAGGATCCACATTATCAGTCCACTGATAATGGGCTGGAAAGCTTGCTGCTTGAAAGAATTCACTGAAGGAAAAAAAATAAAGTAAAAAGAAAATTGGCTTCATCCTGGCTCAAACCAGGACAGTCAGTCACACAACCATCTAGACATAGTCTTTGAGTAAACCAGAACTGTTTAAAACCAACAGAATGAGAAGAGATTACACCCAAAGCAAGAGACTGAGGTAGTTGGCGGTGTCTTTTTGATCTTTTAATACTGAAAGAATTGGGAGGAAAGCTAGGTTGTGAAGGGCTTCCAGAGTGAAGTTGTTTTAATGTGAAAAAACTGCTGGCACATGCTAGGCAATACATATTTCTTTGTGCAGTCATAGCTAAAGTGATGGATGAAGAAAATGTATCATTGTTTCAGATGTGATTTCTGAAGCAGGGCAAATTGCAAGGTCAAAGAACAGTTGTTCCTGCAATTGATTTCAAAGTATTAAGACACAGAACAAGTATTTCTGATTCACAATTAATAAAAAAAAGTCCTTATGTCAGTAATATTGTGCAGAGAGCTTGCAAATCACATGCATTGCCTGGATCTATCTAGGTACACGTTTGGAAAAAGATGAGTTCCAGATGAAGAGCTTGAGCAACTGGAAGATAAGAAAGAAGGCTTTTCAGAAGACATAAGGCTATATATACAGAGGATAGTACAGTCAGAGAAAGATTAAGGGTATTGTTTTACTATACTGAGTTCAATATCTCAGTGTCTGGCTTGCAACTTTCAGAGAGATATCAGAGATTTTCATTTGGATAGCAGAACCTTTGACAGACAGCTGTGTAAACGACAAGCAGAAACTAGCTAAATTTATATTTGGTAAAGAAATAGCCTGTGAAGAAAGAAAGAAGCAAACTTAAGTGTGCCACAAAGAAAATGGGGGTCAGGGAGATGGATGATGAAGAAGATCTGAAAGAAAGTACACTAGGGAGAACCAAAGGAGAATAAAATCTTCAGAGGACAACCAAGGCAAATTGCTTCTAAGGCAACTGAGAGCAGAATGAAGATGTAATTCAGGCTTTGACATTTTGTTCAGAAGCAGTACAGATGATAGATATGACATAGGTTTCTTCTTTTGATTCACAACACGGATGTACCACTAGGACTTGCAAATGGTCTTCACTTTACTTAACTGTAAAATATGATAAAAGTAAAGCCCAATTCACTCCATCACACAGTTTTCAGTTTAATATCTGTGAAGATTCCATTCATCAGTCTGAAAGGGGTAAAATAAAACTAATCTTCCTCTAGAGTTTCTGAACAACAATAGAGAATAATCAAATGCATTTGACTCTTGGGACTATACGTATATACACATATACATATATTTACATAAAAGTATTTTAACTGTCTGCATAAGTTGTGTTTTATGGTCAAATAATTTGGAGATGTGTTTTTGATTTTGCTATTGCAGATATATGCTATTTACTGATGGGATGGTAAATAGTATAAAGACAGAGCCAGCTAAAATTGTTTTTCACTGGGCATCAAGAGCAAGGACAAAGATAGTAGATTAGGAAAAATCAGCTATAACGCTTGACACATTTGCAAGTTCCCTTAGACTGCATTGTGAGCAACTTCTCGAGATTGTGGATGAGGCAGGAAGGAGGCAGAGTAGGAGCTGTGTAAATGACACAGCCAGTGTGACAGACCATGGAAAGGATTAGCAAAACAACCTTTCCTTTGGTACAAATACAACCTTCATTTTCTGCAATGTACAGCAATTAGGCTGGTTGTATTGGCATATGATGCACAAAGGGGATAAGATTTGGGGGATGAGTGAACAGATTGCTAGATAGAATTCACCTAAAGCACAATATTCTACATTTGAATGAGTCTCTCTAATCTCTGTTTGGAGCCAACTGTGAGAAATAAGCACCTCCAGAATGGAATCAACTGACCTGATACATGTGCCTTAAACTGAGGTAGTTACTCCTCTTCTTTAACTATAAAGGAAGCTGAGGCTGATTATTTTACAGGTTAAGTCAAATCAGTCTGGCTTTTCCTTAATACTTCCTTTCATTTCTTTGTTTTTTTATAAATTTGAGGTAAATAAGCAAGACGGTTCCAGCAGACTTTCAGGCAAGTCAGACACTGTAACATTTCACTGGTGCTGCAAAAAAGTTCAGATTACACTCACGTCATTATTGTTGTGCATTACTTACTTGAGTATGTGAGTATGTGTTAAACACTGATTCACCAGTCACACAGTGATACAGAAATTTCTTGTAGATAAAATTTCTCTTTCAGATATGGCAAGAACCCGGCAGCTTGAAAAGACAAGGGTGGTGCTGCCATGTGCACGTAGCTAGCCTTGCTCTTCCCCGTACTAACGTGTTCTCTTGTTAATAGAAACACAGAATGGTTTGGGTTGGAAAGGATACTTAAAGGTCATCTAGTCCAATCCCCCTGCAGTGAGCAGGGACATCTGAAACTACATCAGGTTGCTCAGATCAAGTTGACCAGCACTGTCTAACCTAACCTTGAATGTAACCACTTCTCTGGGCAACCTGAGCCAGTGTTTCACCACCCTCTTCGTAAAAAATGTTCTCCCTTATAACTAGTCTGAATCTGCCCTCTTCAGTTTAAAACATTACCTCTTGTCTTATCACAACAGACCATACCAAAAAGTCTCTTCGCATCTTTCTTATAAGTCCTCTTTAAGTATTGAAAGGCCACAACAAGGTCTCCTCAGAGCCTTCTCTTCTCCAGGCTGAACAACCTCAACTCTCTCAGCCTTTCCTCTGAAGAAAAACCAGAAGCCAGCCCTCTGCATGGAAAAGATCCCATGATTGGCATTGAGGAGGCTCTGAGCTCTCCTGTTCTTCTGCAATAACACAGGTATATGTTCTGCAATCTGGGCTAAGAAAATGGGCCTGGGAAACATTCTTGAGTGCTTCCATTACAGTTCTTCATGTTTTTCATTGCAGATTCTCTCTGTTAACAGCAGATGCTTAAAGATCCTGGAAAATGAAAAACTACCCTGTGTCTCTTCTGTTTTCAATTGAACTGGAATGAATTGTTCTAATTCTGGCATTGAAATCAAAACACCCTAAATTACAGTAATTTGTTTCTCTTTGTGAGTCATTAAATACTCTGAAATCACACATTACTCAGGCTTTCAGTAAGGATCTAATCCTGCAGATTTCTTCAGGCCAAAGCTCTCAGTCTAGTGAGGTGGGACTTTGCTCTGTGGAGAGTCCATCCCACGCCTGGGTGCAGAGCACATCATGTGCTCTCTAACCCCAGACACAGTGAGGTCCTCCAGTTTTGTGAGGGGGGAAACAGACAGTGTCACTGGCAGGAGAAAATGTCTTTCCTTATTGAACCCTCTATGCTGATTGCTTGAAAAGTTTTTGGTTGCTTATAGGAAATAGGATTTGGTTCCCTACTGTGGCTGTTCCAGGCTGAGCTCCAGCTATTATTTCATTTCACTCCGCTGCAGTGACTTTTAACTGTTTCTCACTGCCACTTGTCCACACCCTAATGGGGAGAGATGCAAGGAGAGGAGACAGGAAATGCATCCCAGTTGTGTTCTGTAGCACCTACTGCTTCCTGAGGCATTCAGGGGCTGCTGGGAGTAATATATTTGGAATTAAGAAAGAGAATGTAATGGGTTTATGTGGCAAGGTTTTAGTAGTGGGAGGTGAATTCTGTGAGGAGAGACTAGGATCTGACCCCATGTCGAACACAGCTGCCTTCAAGATGGGCCTGCTGCTGCCCAAAGATGAGCTCGTAAGTGATGGAGGTAGTGCCTCTGTGATAACAGAGTTATGAAAGGGTCAAAATGGCTGTGTAGCAGCTGAGAGAGAAGAGTGAGAGAAACAGCCAGGCAGACACAAAGGTCAGTGAAAAAGGAGTGGGAGGAGGTGCTCCAGGCACCAGAGCAGAGATTGCCCTGCAGTATGTGGAGAAGACCATGGTGATGCAGGTTGTCTCCCTGCAGCTCCTGGAGGTTAATGGTGTAGCAGGTATTCATCTGCAGCCTGTGGAGGACTCACACTGAAGCAGGTGGATGTGCCCTCAAGGAAGCTGAAGCCTGTGGACAGGAGCCTATGGAGGAGCAGGTTTTCTAGCAGAAACTGCCCATGAGGGACCCATGCCCGAGCAGTCCATTCCCAAAGGACTGTACCCTGTGGAAAGGACCCATACTGAAGCCTGTGGGAAGGACTCACACTGGAGAAATTAGTGAAGAACTGCATCCAGTGAGAGAGACCCCACATGACAGCAGGGGAAGATGATGAAGAGGATGGAAAGGCAGAGACAATGTGTAATGAACTGACCATAACCCCTTTCCCAGCCACCTGCACAGATCTGAGGGAGGTGCTATGGGAGCTGGGAGTGAAGTTCAGACTGGGAAGCATGTGGGGTAAGAAATGGGAAGGACACCGCTTTTAGTTTTGTTTTTATATCTAATTCCTATTCTTAAAATTAATTGGCAATAAATAACATTAATCTTCCCCAATTAGAGTTTGTTTTGCCTGTGGCAGTAATTGCTCAGCAATCTTCCTGTCCTTATCTTGACCTTTTGAGCTTTTCATCTTATTTACTCCTCCATCTTGCTGAGAAGGTGGAGTGAGAGACCAGCTTAGTGGGCACCAGCCAAGGGTAACTGACCACAGAGAGGAATAAAGAAAATCCTATTACTACTATTTTATAAGGAACATGTAATAGTAGCAACTTGAGAAAAAAAAAAAAAAAAAAGATACCTGTAAGGTAATCAAGGCATTCCAACAATTTCTTCTCCCTGGTAAAATCAAGTGCGAAAGTATCAAAGGTATCATTGAGATTAATTTCAGGAATTAGAACCTGGGAGGATGCAGTTGCCATGGAAACCCTATAATGAGATGAAAAAAACATACTTTAGCACACAAGACAAGGAAATTCACATCAAAGTAGGACCTAATAATCATAATTGTTATAGCTTTTCAATTAGCTTGATGAAAACTTTGACATATTTTATTTACATGGTTTAAGTTAAAGCTCCTGTCACTTTTATTTTTGGGAGTAAAATCGCCAGTAAAAATCCCTTGTGACTCATCTTTTGCCTAACAAGCAGCATTAAATAAGTTTTTTACAAAATATTGGTTGAGCGACGACGTATTTTGAATTTTTCTTTCCAGTCACCCACTGAATCAAAGTAGTAATGGCACTATTTCTATCTGTGTTTTAAGCAATCCTGACAGATGTTGCATCTCTAACAATGCCTGTTTTCCCAAGTAGTTTCTTGCTCCAGGCATTCCTTGGCATTGTCCTCCCAAAGGTTCGGTGTGGATCCCCACAACTGCTCAGCTGTTCAGCACAGCACACTGCTGTTAACTTCAAAAAGCACCAGCCAGAGATAAAACAAATAGATGTCAGCACCGTTTATTTTGAAAGGCTTTTCCCTGCAAACATGTGTGCATACTTACATTTCCTCCAAATCTGAAAAGGTTCCTTGCCTATGTAATTTAAAGAGCTACATCTACTTTTTATCCATCCAGACATACTAATAATATATAGAGAAGTGCCATCACGGTGCATTTTTCAGATCCTTCAGCCTGGTATCTCAAAATACATGTTACTGGAGACCTGGATCCCAGATATGTTTATAGAAAGTTTGGTCCACTTAAGCAAAGAGGTTCTTAAACCTCATTTAGTTAACTGCTCTAGTTTGGAGGTAAACAGCAATGCATGTCACTTACCTGTCATTTGTGACATGGGTGATCAAGATATTTTGACTGCGTCAATTAACAGTTTCCCAAATTAGAATATTTCTCTGTAGATAGGGCTCAAATGGCTCAAGGCCAAATGCTTGCTAAGAACTATGTTTTCATGTATTTCTTGTGTAGTATTTTACAAAAATACAGTTAAGAAAGTAAAAAATTGAGCTGCACATCTCACTGTTTTCAGCACAGTTTTCAAAAACTGAGCTGAGGATGTCTATTAGTCAATAATTTGTGTTATACAGTTCTCAATACTGTTGCTCTTGCAACTGTGATAGCAGAAGTTAGTTTAAAGTAGATCCTACTAGAAATGTTAGTTTTTTTGGAGAGGATAATTAAAATGCCCCATGCACTTACAGGGAAAAATGCCCTAAGCTCCTTCACTTCTTTTTTTTCTCTCCCACCCATCCCACCCCTAGTAGTTCGTCTGCAATTATACCCTGGTGCTTTTATATCTATTAGGAAAAAAAGACACACGTTTCTTGTAGAGCCTATGTTAGGGCAAACTCGGTGACACACACTTCTGCAAAATTAACAAAGGTCTTGCTAATAAACCAGCAAGCAGGTATCTAAAATCAGGAGCTTCTTTGAAAGCCTGTATAAAACACATATTTTTTTGTGAAGAAGACTGTATCACCAGGCCCTTTAGAACTGCTCTCTGGGGCTATGCAAAGGGTGCACTGTGAGTAAGTGTGTTAAAGTGTGTGCTTTCGGTGAGCTCAACATCTCACACTTTCAGACACCATGTCACCATATTAGGTTCAGTGGATTGAATTCCCTCTTGTACTTCTGCATGCTCTATCTGACACTGTACTTCGTTGGAAAAGGTTTTTCTAGGATAAATGCATTTCACCCACTGTAAATAATGTATGACCTAAATCATTGTAGTGTGTGTAATGTCTTAGCTATACATAGTTACCTGTTGTGCTTACAACAGAGAATATTATACTGCAATTACTTTGAAATATATGGATGAAGAAATGCAATGAGCGTAATTTCAGGAGACTGTTTTAGCAGCTGGAGCTCAGGCCATGGTGAGACTGTTACATGAGCAGTCTAGAATCAAACAAAATATTGCTCACCACATAAGAACTAGGAGAGTTGCTTCTGGGGAATCATTTATTAATAAGATTTAATCTCTTTTTCCACTTGCAATTTGTCTGTAAGCACTCGGTGGTTTTTTTCCCCTCAGTTTTATTCACTGTTTAAAATTATTCTCTGACTTTCAGGGTGTTCTTAACCATCTCATTGTAGACAGCAATCTGTGATAGCCAGGAATTAGATTTGATTTGGCATATTTGTCAGCTGGTCTAATCTCTGCTCTCTGAGTATCTCTCCTGTGACTGTATTTATGATGTAAATGTTAATGTTTACAAGTTCAAAATGGAGCTTCTCTGATTACTCTCTAGTAGTCAATTAAAAAGCTTTGTGTCTTCACAGATTTCTGCCCTACTGCTTGTTCCACTAAATACTGAAAAAAAGGCCAGACCCTCACCTTCAGCTTTTACTCATGGTACTCATGTGGCAGTCTTAATATTAGGGTCTGCTGGAAAAAAAAAAAAATTAAAAAAAATGTGCCACAACATATCTTAGTGACAGAATAAAAACTGGGGCCAAACTGGACAGAGAAAATGTAATCCCTTGTCTTGCCTTGTCTTGTCTTTCAAAAGATTTTCAGTTCTCTGAACCTGTACCCAGCTGCTGACTTATTAATAAATTGAGTAAATAGCTTTGGTGACTCCTGATACTCAGATAATCTGCATACAGCATTCCATAGTCATTGACAGACTTAAGAAAATAAATGAGAGCAGGGAACTTCATGCTTTGGATTAGGTGAAAATTGGCTGGACAATGTGAAGATATAATGTGAACCCAGAAATAAAAAAATAGCTGAATAAATGAGCATCCTTTTTATAGTTCTCTTCTTCATTGTCCACATACAACCTCTATTCTTTTTTTGTTTTGTTTCTCTGACAGATGGCTAAACAGCTGATAATTCTAACAAAACACTTTTTAATCAGAAAATACTGCTGAAATTCGATGGGAATATTTCAGCATTCTCAGTGTTGCACTGAAAACCAGACTTAATTTTCTGACAGCACAGCTTCCTGGAAAGACATGCTCCCTTCTCTTTGGGTCCCTGATATACCTGGCATGCTTTAAGAGGAGCTAGGATGCTAGACGCAGTAGAAATTCCCTACATACAGAGACCCAACACAGCAGCTGCCATAATTTCCAGACACCCAAGCTGTTGAATCTCCAACTCTGTGAGTGGGTACCTCAGAGATGCATGTTCCCTAAGTGACACATTTCATTACCTTGCCACTTCCTATTTTGTGAAGAATATTAATCCATTAAGATAATTCCAAATATGTTCTAAGGAATGTACTCGCTGCCGGATTTATTTCTGAATCTCAGAATTCTCCATGGAATAGGTACCTCAGACTCCAGAAACCTGTTTTTTTTAGTGTTTTTAGCACCAGACATCTACTTGGCAACCACCTTAGTGCATGCTATTACTGTTCTAAATCTTATTTCACACCTTTTTTTGACTGCTTCTCTTTCCAAAGGGATGTTTTGATAGAGCACTACAGTAAGGTCCTTCGCACTCTGGTACAGCACAAAGTAATGTTCTGAGGGAATGTGTCAATGAACTCCCCCTGGCTTGGGCCACATCTGTGGTGGGACAAGACATACGGCAGCTATGGCAGCCCATCTGCCTTAAGCTGAGTTTTTTTGGGTTTTTGAGAGGAATGTCTTCTAATTTACCTTTCAGTGATATTTTTAGCCGTTTGCAGGAAGCGAGCGTGATCGTTCTCCTTCAGCGACTGTTCAGCCTGAGAGATGAGGGACGTCGAGCGCTCAATGCACTGTTTGCAGTTCGCAATCTGCTGAGCCAGTTTTCTCAACCTCACCACCTTGAGTGGAAACATAAGAAAGCAGTCACCTCTCTAAGGTCAGAAATCATGATTGCATTTGGCACTTCCGAGGCAAAGCTGGAATGCAAAGGGGAAGTTAAGATGGATGGCTTCACTGACAAGAGCTTTTTTCACACTGGCTTGATGGTGAGCCCCATCTAGCCACGTAACATTTTTAACAAGGGGCAGGCACAACCTTTCTGCCTGAATATTTTCCACATGGAAAACAACAGGGGAGAGCCAAAACAAGCACAGCTGGCCTATTTTCCTACAGAAGAAACATAATTTCCTGGTACTTTCTGCTTACATGATAACTAAGGGCTATTTAGGTAATTGTTGCCCTGAAGTGATGAGATCTGTGTTAAGGGTGTCTTACAGATTAACTAATTTTTTCTAATACTGACGTGAGTTTCACAAAAAATAATAATAAATTGAAAACTTGACAGAAAAAGACTGTTCAATTTTTGTCACAATACATGCCTGCCTTTTTCATTATATGCTTGTAGTCAAAAAAGGTATTTTCTTCTTGAATATTTTTAACTGGATGAGAGCACACTAGTGCTGGAGAGCTGATTATTATTACTGCAAACATATGTGCTGGAGATAAACACAGTAGGTGTGACTGCAACCATTAGCTGAAAGGTTAGGGAGGGCCACAGTCAATACTTCATTTAAAGATAAAGTTGGCTAACAAAACTTCTAGTTCCTTATAGGTCTGGAAGTCCTTCCTATTGGTATCACATCAGGATCACAGTCTGAAGAGGAGTAGAAAATAGGAAGGCGTTTAGAAAGGCAGTAAGACCCAGTTATATGAGAAAAAAGGAAACTTGCAACCATGTGGATCAGCAGAAATATATTAATTTCTAGTCAAGATAAGGTTCTCAATCTCAGCAATATAGGGCACAAGCTACAAAGCTGCTGAGTTGAATTTCACATATAATTGCATCCTGACCAGTGATAAAGCTATCTTAGTGCACCTACCCAGAAGCAGAAACCAGTAGGAAAATTAATCTTTTTAAAAACTTTTGAAAAGAAAATATTGGCCAAATGATTCCTCTCCTGTAGCATTGGTGCTTCTTCTAAAGACAAACACAATAAAGGCAAAAAATTGCTGGGGAAGCAAAGATTTTTATAATGCTAATGACATGATCAGGTTCTAAGCTGAACTAATGCTGTAATATTTTCATTAACTGTACATTTGCAGAGATTACAATTTTGTGTATGCCAGACTAACCAGGGAAAGGTTCATTGTAGTATTAAGTAGCTCATATCTTTTTTAACTTCTTAATTAACAATATAAACAGTGAACTGAAATAAATGTTGCCTTGTGAGTTCTTAGCAATCAGAAGGCATGCCATGATTATTGAGGTCTCCAAATGAACAAGATTTTGTTTGCTTGATTCTTTTTTGCATCTTCTTCAAGAAGACAACTGATGATAAACTTTAAAAGAGTCTTGTCTCAACTGCTCCTCACCCACCCCCCCAATGGGGGAATGACATCTGCAGTAAAATTATCTTATCTATTTGAGATATAAACTTTTGTTTGTTTATTTGTTTTTCCTGTTAATGCTCTGTAGGACTGTATAGGTGTTGAGTGATAGGTGAGATGAAGAATGAAGCTGCACCACACTATTAAACTCATGTCTGAATCTGCAACCTTGCAGCCATAGCTGGACTTCTATACCTGAGTGTTTCCAGCTCTGTAGTCATAATTATAGTCCTATAGATGAATTTGCCATCCCCTACCTTCTAGAAAGACTCTTAGCTACAGGCTCTCTTAAAAGAAGGTACATTGGGCAGAATTTCCTGTGGCTTTTCACAGGGGTCTCTTGAACCCCTGAAATCTTTCAACATTTGCAACATATAGGGTAAAGCATTCCAGATCTTTACTGGACCTCAAGTTATATAGCTTGTAGTTGAACAAAGTAGAACAAAGAATGGGGACAGATTCTGATATCAGCTATATTCAAATAAATATGGAGTAAATTGTATTAGAAAATTTCCTTGCTTTAATGGACATTATAATACACCTTTGCAAGCAATAGATTTTTTTAAAAGCAACTCATGTATACAGCACAAATCCAAATGAACGGAAAGTTTTCCACTTCATTGGAAGCACATCTGTTCTCACTGGGTAGAGAAACAGAGTTGAAACAATAATGTAGAAGGCCACCTTTTCTATTTTCAAGGGGATTTTATTTTTTTAACAGCATGAGAAAATTCAGGTTCTGTCACATATTGCACAGGACCTGTGGTTTCCAACATGTTTAAGTTAGCCCTTGCCTACAGGCTTTTTATTTCAAGTTAATTGGAATATCTTGACAGCCGCATGAACCATTTAACCTGCTCTTGACTTTCTTCCTTTCTTTAGCTTTTCCCACACAAGAAGAGTTTATATTTGACTTAGTTTAGCAGTTAAATAGTAAACACCATGTACCTAGAAAATGAGAACATTAGTTGAACTCTAATGTGTTTCTCAGTTAACAGATATCTAGCAAAATGTGTTGAAACTTGAATATCAGAGATTTTTCCCACTCAATACGTTGGTCGCTAATAATCATTGTACTTAAGTAATCGGAAATGCACACTTAATTTAATTTCATGCATGTTTTTTATAAATAAGTTGGATTTCCTATTCTCAAGAATGACAATTAATGAAACAGGTTTTAATGTTATTGTATTTTAATAAATAATTATAATATATAAATTAACATATTCATGTACATAATTGCAAACCATGATACCAAGTGTTGTGACACTTTGTGAAAGTGAAAACTTTGGGGGAAGCACTGTCAGACATATAACAGAGTAAGGGAATTATTAATTAGCCATCATTTTATTATCATTTATTGATAGTGACTTCATTTCTGTGATTATCCTTCAAAATCATAATCACATGTAACAGGAGAAATGCCAGATAAATTGCTGAGGTCTAGTGTACTCATCTTGACATATTTCATTCCCCTTTACATGAAAGCAGTAGTAGCCCAGGACTACATAATGACTTTTACGAGTATGTATTAATAGCACATGAGGTAAAAAAAGCTCTAAGCAAGAGGAAGCAGTGTTGACCTACTTGAGGATTAAAGGAGAAAAGCTTTTACCTTTCCTTCCTTGATTTTGGTTCCAATTATTTGTCGTCTTTGCTGTATTATTTCAATGAGCTGGTCACATTCTTCCATCAGCTTTGTTTCTTGGCGGGATGCATTTACCTACAAAGCAAGTAATTTTGATTAGCAAAATCTTTTTGGACATTTGCCTTTACTAATTACAAATTTGTAATTTGTAAAATGTTTGGTTTATCATTTTCTGCTCGTTTCTGTGTATAATCGATGTGTTTTGTTTTTTTCCATCTTGGATTTTGTAAAATACTGAAAGGATCCTGAATGACTTGGTTGTAGGATGTAAGACTTGCAGATAGATACTCATCAGGTATTTCTAACTCAAGTGAGAAAAGCCTGGTCCTGTGAGGACTGAGAGATGTCAGTTATAGCAGACATCAGTGAGAAGTGAAGTCTTTTCAGGAGATGTTTAACACATCTCAGATTCAAGACATACAAATATATGAGCCAGTGAAACTGTTTTTAATGCAAAAAAAACCTTACAAAGAATACTTGCTTTCTATGAAAAATGTTGACTTTTGTCAAAAACTAAGAAAACTTAAACCAGAAACATTTTGGTTCTCAGCTGAAAATGTTTTGTTTCTGGGGGAGACTGATTTTTTAAAGTGAAAAGTCAACATTCTGTATGACAAGAAAAACGTACTTCCCCCCCAGCAGTAGTATGCGTCGCCTACATGTATCCATAAAGAGTCAGAGAAAAAAGAAAAAGGTTCTAATCATATCTATGATATCTATCATATCATAAAATACATAAAAGTTTAAAGCAGTGATTTCAAAGCTATGCTTCCATATACACTTTGCTAAGAGGGTAGAGCAGCCTTCAACCCTGGCCAATTGCTCCAAGAGCCACTTCACCTTTTCCATTGGGCTAGTGAGAACTAATGTTGAAGAACAACAGGGAACAGTTCCAGGTGACAAGTAACTGTATTTCACCCCTTAGTTATTTTTCAGTCTGATGATCCCCTTGATCTGCCTTAGCCTTCTGTTTTTTTCTTCCAACAATGTGTTTAAGCATGCATTTATCTGTAAGCATATTATGGAACTCATTAAGATTAAGCAAATGCTAATATATCTAAATTTGGACCAGGGCCAATTTTACAAATAACCTTCTTATGGGAAATACATTGTGTCCTCAGGGCAAATGGGACTTGTTTACAAAGGCCTTCTTACATTAAGGTTTTGTATTATCCTTCTCAAACCTTCATAAAATTTAAGTTTTGAGTGCATATTTTACAGACTTCATTATTAATTAAGATATCAGGGCTACAAAAAAACCCCGTATTTTTTATGGAAGAGGTCAGATGGTACTGAAAGTGCTGAGGACACCAGCAGTCAGTAGGTAAACATTTAGAAAGTACTCTCAGTGTATAGTTTTAGGTGCCTATTTAACTCCTGTTTGTCCTGCCTTGCTTCCCACCATGGTCCGTAAGGAGACACAGATCATGGAGCAGCTCACCCAAAACCTCTGGCAGTGCCAGTGTCTCTCCACGGGCCACTGAGGGACTGCGGAAGAACTAGTCAAATCAAGATGGTCCCTCCCATTCCTCCTCTTCTCTTCATCCCACCACCCCAGCTGCATCAGCACCACCCCACCAACCCCCCGCCCCACCACGTTCTGCGCTTTGGCGTGAAACGCTGCAAAACTGTTTCCAATGAGCCACCCAGTGTGCAACGTTCCTCTGCTCTGACTCCAGTTTCACTAGTGGACTGAAAATCCACCGGAGAGTGAGGAATCCCAAGTGGGCTCAGTCGGGGCAGGGAGCACATGCACTGCATGTGGGTGCAACTCCTGTGTTGCTAATGGGGTCTGCTCACGCCAGAGCCAACTTTGGCACTTAACTACGGTAGCACTTCACAGAATTTTTGAGTAGTTTCCACTCAAAGTGTTACTTCTATCACCACCCACTTACATCACAAACTCATTCTGTTGAGCAGATCTGTTTAATCTTTGGGATAACTGTCGTGAAGCACAGAGTTACAAGAAGGTTAAGTCAACATTGTTTCATTTAATGCTTTAGTTGGTTTGAATAATAAAGTATTGATTAAATCGTAACTTAAAAAAGTCTAGACTAAGAAAAAGAAAATGCCTGGAAAAAAAACCTTTGGATTTCTTACACACTGACTGCAGACTTCTCTTTTTCTTTGAAATCTGACAAGTATATTATTTTATGAACTTCATTTGAAGACATTTCCAACTTCATAGCTTGCACAACCTTATTAAAAGTGAAAAGAATATTCCAAAATTATTTGATATGTCTGAGCTTTGTATGAAAAAATAAAAAGCATTTAATCTGGGGGCTTTTCTCAAGTTGAAATATTCCTTAATCGAATTTTCAGCCTACAAGGCCTCTGATTCAGTAATAACTTTATAATTGAGCACATGCCTAACTTTAAGTGCACCGTATTAGCTCTGGCCCTAAAGGGACTATTTGTGAGATTAGCATTGAATATTATTTACTTGTATGTTTCTGAGGAGTCATATGTCAGGCCAAAGAGCCACAGGCATGGAACAGGGCTCTGCTGTACAGGTGCTGCAGAAATACCAAAATAAGGCTCTGCCTTCTGCTTGAGTCCTTTGATGAACAGCAACCTTGACAATAACTTCCAGCTGGGGCTGGCCAAGGAATGCGAGTTCTGTCTGGTGAAAATACTTGAGGTTTTACATTCTACATTTTTCCACATTAAAACAAGCCCTCTTTCCAAGGAGTTCATTAAAAGAGACTGAGAGCTGCATTAGAAAAGTCTGGAGACTGTCGCTCTCTTTGGTTGTGGGAGGCTCTGAATCATGCAGGGAGCAGACTTAAATCTGGGCTTCCTCCATCCCAGATGAATGTTGACTCCTTAATCTAAGATATCTATTGCTAGGAGTTTATGCTTGATTTGAGGACATCTTTCTGCAGAAAATTTCAGCAACATCCACACACTTAGATTTAGCATCAGCAAATTCCTTGAAAATCTATGTCCTGAACTACTTTGAATCTAAAGTTTGTTTTATTGGTGTAAACGTCTCTTCCATGCCACAAACCAGATTTAAAACTGACTAGGAGGTCTTGTTATGATTTAGCAAAAATAATAACATTTTCTACTGCAAACAAGCAAACTGATTCTAGTCCTCCTGCTTTTGTGGGAAATTTATTCCTATTTCTGTAATATCCAAAGACTTCAAACAGACAGTTTACTGAAAAAAATAAATAAATCAGGGTTCTTTCCAGGTTTTCCAGACAGATGGATAGGGTCTGCTGGCCCTTGCCTCAGCAAGTGAGTGTAGAAAAGAAAGAAAAATGGGGGTTCCTTAGATGTCTGTGGGGGAGCTGGAAACAAGAAGCCTTCCCAACCCAAATGGGAGAGCAGGCCAGCTGTTCCCATCTCCACAAGCTGAGAACTGCTTTGGAAAGTGTTCTCTCTACAGAGGCTTCCTTGGCTTTCATCTTCAGAGGCCTGAGCTAAATTGCAGCTTAGGTCATAAGAAAATGAATGTGGTGGTTTCAAAGTCCCCAGCAGATGTTTGGGAAATCACAGAATTACGCATGGCTAGAGGTTCAAGGTTAGAGGGGAACTTCCCCAGTTGATTTAAAGGCAAACAGAGTGTCCAAGGGCTAGAATCATACCCATGAAAACTTCCCCAACTAATATATTAGAATTGAAGGATTTTTTAATGTCTCAATAAAATTTTCCTTGAAGGAGCAAAACACTGCCTCTGGGATTCCTTATGGATGAAGCAATTTTGCCCACAAGTAGAAATGCACATGTGACTTTCCAGCAAATAATCTCTAAATGACAAACAAAATCAGACACCCTAAATTGAAGGTGGTCTGATTTTTAAGACTATTCTGTTTGGGATAAATTCATCAAAACCAGAGCAATTTTTATTCACTAGCCACCAACTTCCTATGCAAAACAGAAGAAAGACGTTTGCAGAAAGAGTCTGATCTTTGGAAAGTAAGGTATGCATTTGATTTCAGTTTCAGATTTACCATTAAAAAATTGTCTCAGTGTCTCAAAAAATAACTTCTTTCCTCTTGGAGCCATACAGTTAAAGAAGAAGTATCAACTTTTCTTTACAGGTTTGAGTTGGTGGTTATAGAATTACTATATACTCACAAATAAACAAAAATATCAGAAAAGCAAATGGCAATTATTCCACCTAACAACTGTAACATCATTGCCACATACTTCACTCTAGATTTTGAGCCTGAATATCTTCTTTTAACAAAGGCAGAAAGTGAGGAAAAAATAACCTAAAATAATGACATATAAAGACTGGAGTACCTGTTTATGCTAGGAAAACTTTCTTCATTGTCATGTAGATGTGGAACATACTTTCTGGGATTACTGTCTTTAGATTAATTAAAAGATTATACTCATTTAAAGAGAAAGACATATCTAATTTTTAATTACTCCATGTTGCAAAATGAGTAACTTTTCTTCAGAGTCACGATGCATTGAAGTAACATTTTAACATCATCCATGTTTCATTTATTTATTTAATGGAAACACAAAGAATAATTATTAATGTATATTCCTGAAAATATTTCCTTTTTTGTATAGATGGTTAGACTATGGGTTATTCAATTTAGTCTCCTGTAGTGCAAAGTGCAAAACCAACTCTTGGAATAAAGCCTTTTCAGACTTTTATCTAATCTAAGTGTAAAACTGATTTTATCTCTTATGACAAACCGTGCCTTTGGAAATATGTGATATTAATCAGCTTGCCATCTGAATGGATGATCTACATCTCCTTCATTCTGCATTGGCACGAGAGAAAAAGGAGTGGCCATCTCCCATTTCAAATGTGCCAGAGGCTTTGTTTGTGTTTGCATTCCACGTCTATCTCTAACCAGGAGACTGGTGTTTAGAGGCAGTCTCAGAGCAGGTTAAACAAAGGTCAGTGCAAAAATACAGCAACTTACTCTGGCTACCTAGGAATTTTGTGAATGAAGAATCAGTTGGGCCAGGATAGTTAAACCACTTTGGATGAGGCTGATAAGACTATCTGCCCCGATCTTGACTAAAAGTAAACCTTTTTTGAAGTTTGGAATACTCGTGTTACTTATTAAAATGTTGTTTTAAAGGTTTTGTCCCACTGTGCT